CGGGGCTTTATGCAGCTGTCTGTAGTAATGGCTGTTTCTTTTATTGCCTGCTGCTTTTGTTTAGTGGAGTCACACGAGATCAGTGTGGGGAAGAAGGAGACAGGATTTAAAGTGAGAAGGCATTTCTACTGTCCTTCAATCTGACTTCCTGAATTATTCAAGATGTGGTATTTTGCATTGTAATTCTCACAATGAGGCTAATAACTTAGTAACTGAATTAGGCAACTGTGAAGATATTTAAGCATCCTCCCCTAGCCCCACCCCAAAAATTTACTTTCAAGTCTGTGCTGCAGAATAAGTTTTTGTGAAAGAATCAGGTTTTTTTTTTTTTTGTGACAGAAATACAGCTGTGCCTTTGCCCTGCAAAGATGTGAGTTTTCCACCTTCGTAATTTTTTATTTTACATCAGTACTGGGCTGTAAGGAGCCAGAATTGGCAAGTTCTGTGTTAGAGATGTGGAATTCATGTTTTTCCCCAAGGACATCCAACGTGCAGGAGTTTATTTTATGTAGCAGTTGCTTTTAAGTGGAATGACTTCATTCATAATTGCAGGTATGCATTGTTATGCTTTCAAAATGGAAGATGGCTTTGGCTGCTGGAACAAAATAGAATTTTAATTAGATTAGGAATTAAACCAAACTACCCCCCATTACACTCTTCCCAAAGCTAGGTAATGCCAGATGAGGCTTGATTATAATTACGGTGTCACGAGTGTTAAAGCTTTCTAATGCACATAATGATGCTTTAAAAATGACCTCCTGTACACTGAGATTTATTAAGTTGTTATAATTTCTGTATGTCTAGATTAATTGATCATAAACAGAGCTTCAGGAGGGTTGAGGAAACTACCTAAATTGAATGGTCTCCTGAGACTCATATCTGGACAGGTTGACTGAATTTCTGTGACTTACCAACCCACTTTCTCCCTTGCTGGCAGTCTGATCCTATGTATGTGATACACAGCAGCAGGGGTGGCTGCACAAACCACTCAGTGTGCGTGAATACAAATGAACTTTTCATTCCCCTCAACAGGAGTGTTTGTGCCAAAAGGATCGCTAAATATTTGCCAGTTTCTGGGACTTGGTGCTTGCTCACCCACCAGCCTGGCAGAGCAGCCCTTGTGATGGGGAGGGGTTTGCTGGGATCTGAAGCAGCAGGTCTCGGCGGGCAGTGAGGAACTGTCCCAGGGCTCAGGGCCAGTGTCTCAAACTCTGTGCTGCACTGTGGCTGGCTATTCAGCTTCCAGATTGCAGAGGGCCAGAGCAAACCCAGGCAGAAATCTTGTAAAATAAAGGCTAAAGAGGTAAAAAAATTGTAATTATGAGAAAGCCGTCTGTGAACAATAAACTGTGTCTGTCACTGAACAATGTTGCCGTTTCTAGCGTTTCCTAGGAACATCCGGTGCTGCAGAGAAATACTAATCCTCCTTTTTTTCCTCCAATTATCATCATCACTGCAAGTGGCACTGTTTACAGTTCTGCTTTTGCCTTTAGCACTGATAACTCTCTTGTTTAATGACTGTAGGGAAGTCTGGGACAGTCCCACTTTTACTTAGTGACACTCAGAGCGTTAAATGTTGCAATGAAATCCTGGTTTTCATGAAATCAGTAGCAAAATTTTTGCTGACATCGGAAGAGACAATGTTCATCTATGGACGCTTTGTGTTTTTTCCTGAAAGAGCCAAACTTAAGACTAGTCTGATCTCAGTTGATGTCATTTAAATGAAGTAATTATTGTACAGCGGCTCTCAGATCCCAGAGCAGATAGGATCATCATGCAAAGGGCTGGACAAGGCAGTATTGAGCAGCGGACTCTGCTTCACAGACATTATGATCTGAAGTCACAAGTCAGGAGGGTGCTTAATGCGTGTCTAACTTCTGAGCCCATGAATAGCTCCTGTGACTTCAGTGAGAGGACTCACATGCCTAACCTTAAGTAAGAGCTGAAATACCCAAGCCACTTCTAAATTAAGACCTAACACACAGACAGTCTTTCTTGAATTTTAGGTTTCCCTGCCTGTCTGCCCTGACCTTCTGCAAGCCTGTGGAGGGCTGATAACTGTGTTTTTGTAGATAGACTCAGCCAGTGCAGTTTTAATCTATCAACTGTGATGGCCTCAAAACTCAAAATACGGAACATTCTTAAACCCCACAGACTGTGTTCTTCTACTCTTGGGAATTTAAGAGGGAGAACAACCAATCTTCTAGGTCAGGTGAAGGTGAGACAGAAGGAGAGTGTGAAAGGAAAGACAAACCTGTTGGTATTTCTTTCACTGTATATTTGACTGAAAGGCTTCTATTTATTTTTGAGGTGTTTGCAAAATATGAAGATTATATTAAGGAGCGACATGGATAGAGTTTGGAGATGGTGGCAGTAAAGCTGTACAAGAAGGAGGTATTTGTTTCCTGCACTGGGTTTCTTTCTGCTGTGTCCCTCCCCACATATTTTTTACTTACCTATTTTCTCAATTTCCCTCTCTCCTTTAATTTTCCTATTATATCTTTACTTCATGGGGTAAGTTCAAGATATCATCACAAGCTCCATGCATGCAAGGAGGCAAGAATGAGCTCACTAGTGTTTTGGTCACGATAAATAGTCATTCAAGTGGCATTGCCAGGATTTCAGAGGAGAATAGGTCTACAGGCAGAGAGATCACAATTTCCTTAATGAGAACGCCTGCATAAAGCACCGTATAATCCAGCATATAATTCTTCCCTGTCAAACCTGTAACACTGAATACTTACTTAAGGTATCAAATGAGTGAGGGTATTGTGTCCTTTTCTTAAAAAAAAAGATAAAGAACTCTCAGTTTAGAAAATAAACCCTTAAAAATAGTTTTGCCTATTTCAGGCCAACTGAGAATCCTTCTGTCCTTCTTTGCACTGTATGTTGTACAATGTTAAAAAAGATTTTAAGAAGTAGACACTCTGCTTTCTTCTGTGTGTTTGCCTACTTTCTGCATTCCACGTCTCTTGGACCAGAAATTGCAAATGTTGATGGAGAGTGTTTGTTGAGGAAGAAAAAACGAGCACAATTCCCCTGAAAAGTTGTAACTAGAGATGGAAGCATTCCTCTTCCTTTCTGATTCCTGCAAATTCTAGTTACGGAGTCCAGAAAAACTTGACCATTTTTCCTCTTAGTTGTTTGTTCCACTGCAAGACTCTGTTTTGGGGTAGAGTTATTTCAATAGCTTTCACAGAGTTTCCTGATGCCTCACTATAGACATGTTACAGAAAAATCACAGCTAGAAATTCATTCTGGAGAGCAAGCGTGGGGCAAGCTTCTGTGTTTGTGACGGAGGGGCACAAATGATCAGGGAGCCTGAGTTCACCGCAATGCCATTTTTCTGCTCTGGGCATTCTTCCCTGCAGAGCTTGTTGCATTTGTGGCCTAGTTTTAATGAGAGATTTTTGACAGCAGTGGTGACTGTTGACATTTTCCTCTATTTTAATTTTTTTATTCCTCCTTTGGGTTTGAGCTGAGCACTCAGTGTAGTGAGGAAGCTCGAGGGTGCCTGATTTAGCCCCTCTGACTGCAGGTACCATGTCCTACAGTCTGCTTTATAAACTCCTGAAGATGGTTAATGGTTTCTTTCTCCCATTTTTTCTATTGAAAAGTAGCTTCTGCCTCATCCTTATTGTAATAGAAACATTATCATTTCGAGTCTAAATTTACTTATGGCCTTTTTATTCTTCTTTGCTTATTTCTAGTCACTGATCTTGACTAGCTATTTTTCTTTCCTGGTGTTTGCCTTTGAGTTATTTCTGGATTGCAGTGATGACCCCTCTCAGTCTCTGGTTAAGCTAAAAAAAGACAGCTACTCTGGTCTCTCGTAGAGGAATCTCCCTTATTCTGATTATCCTACCAGTCTTTGTCAGTCTCTGACTTTTTTTGGAGTTCAGTATGTGTGTGTTGAAGAGAGGCCCCACAACACCTTCTGTGTTCTGGGTAGTTCCCCCAGGTTCTGGACTGTTTAAAATGGCTTTGCTCATCACTGGAGTCACCTGTGATTTTCAATGAATACATGGTTTTGGTTTTTAAACCAAAAACCCAACCACCATTCACTGAATGCAAAAGCAGACTCTTGTCTTGCAGAGTAAGGAATGATATGTAATTCTTTGGAGAGCTAAAAGATGGAATATTTGTAGGGACAGCCTGGGTGCTGAACGTATTGAAATAGTCTGCTTCCCTTGCTCCATGAGAGTGGGACAGTTACTGCCACTAGGCAGATTGTCTTCTCCACTTTAAGTTTAGGGCTCAGCTTCTTTAGGCAGGATGCTGTTTTGTAGTAATGAGTGGAACATTTAAATACAGTATTTATGAGTTGTGTCTGAACTATCTGATTATTTGCAAATCACAGCAAAAGCTCCCAAACCTGGCACAAACTAGTCCATATTGGAGCAGGACTTGCCAGGCAGCCTGGGTGCCACACGTGGTGGCCACTGTGAGCCTCATTCAGTGGGGGGATTTGTGCCGTGCTGTTGTGGCACTTCCAGAAAGCATCCGACTTTTCTTCTTAAAACTGTTTAGCACAGCATATGTGCATAGGGTAGAACAGGGTGGGGAGGTAGAAGGGCAAGCCTGGTAGGGGTATCCAGCTGGCAGGAAAACCAGAACCAAATTACAAGGTGTAAAAAAAAAAAGTGAAGTCTGGGGAAATCTGTCCCTGGTCTGCAAAAAATAGTGAGTGGAGTTACTGTGCCATTTGAAGGTATGGGAGGTGCAGGTAGCTAGTAAGAGCTTTGATGCAGGTGAAAGCCATTGGTCAAAATTTCAGTCAGGGTTACAGAGAAATTGATGGCACTGCATGGCTTTCTGCTAGCTGAAGATTGGGTCTAATACTTTCCCAAGTAAAAGTGTTCAGTCAGTCTTGCAGCCTGCCTGGAGAACAAAGGACTGAGACAGATTTAATGCTCATTCTGTTAATTGCCCAATGGCCATTCTTTCAGCACAGATCTGTGTTTATGTGCCAGAATAATTTGGGTTTATGTCTGACACAGGAGATCTGACTTGTGGAGGGACTTCAGTCTGGGCTGTTACTCTTGGAGGACTGGGGAAATGAGGGCATATCCTCCCTGCCCATATAGTCTGCAACTGAAGACACCTTTCAGGTAGGAGTCGTTTCCTATTGATGGCCAGAGAGGTGAGTGACATGTAAGCCCTCTTTTTAAGCAAAGTGAGAGGGGAAGAAAGAGAGAGAGAAGGGACTGTAAGGTCCTGAAGGGTTTTCTTCAGCTTGTCTTAATTTGGAGGTGACACTTCATATGTCAATTTAAATTAAGCCGTTTCAAATAGCACCCATTCCAGAGCCTCTGATGCACTCGTAAGATCGCAACTGTGGGGCACGTTGGGTGACTGACATAGTTGAGGACAGAGAGGAGCTGCAGGAGGAGCTGAGCTGAGGTGCTTCATTGCGCATTGCAGGGTTACTTTGTCCCCTGATGTGTATGATCGCATGTAATTACCTGGATGTAGTTCAGCCATTTTCTTTATCATGTGTTTGGGCCTAGCATTCTGCTGTGTTAACTCCAGGTATCTTGTACATATGTCACAGTTTTCTGCAACCCTCCTGATCTGTATAAGGTTTAAATAGGAATCTTGTCTGGGTGTTGAACGGTTAATGTAATAGAAAACTAACACCTGCATCTGCAGCCTTGTCCCCTCCAATGCAGCTGAATAGCATTTCATGATGGCAGGGAAATAATTCAGTAAAACTAGGCCCTGCTCTGTGGGCGATGAATGAAGCTCAAGTGAAGTAGAGGTCACTTGTGTTAATCTGAAGCAAATAGGATTGTGGGACTGGGGGAAGAGGGCGAACCTCCTTTTATGTACAAATTCTATAGCTCAGAGGCTTAGGAAACACTTCATAGTAAACATTTGCAAAGTATCCATGCCATTAACCTTTTCTGAGAGGACAGACAAATGGTTTTCCTGCTTCATTTTGTGCAGGTCTCGCATTTTGGTACGTATGCAAATTGTGCTGGGTGGCAGTGTCTCATACAAATAAGCTTGAAATGCAGAGGCAGCCATGCAAGCAAAATGGCTTGCCTTTCCCCGCAGCTGCAATGAGACTTTTACCACAGGAGGACCAGGCAAGGAGAGAGCCTGATTTGTAAGGAAGCATCAGGAAGAGAGAAGAAAACCAGATATCCTCCTAAAATGCTGGCAGAGTAAGAGAAAGCACTTTGTCCATGCTACAGTGCTACCCTGTATTTTTGATGACTTGTGGAGCATCCAGCACTGCTTTATTTTTCTTCGTGTTTTGGAGCGTCCTTATCCTAACTTCTCAAGGCATGGAAATAGATGAGCAGCTCATGGCTATGTGGAACTGGGGAGGTGATATTTGGGAAGAAGAGATGAGCAGCATCTCTTTGAGATCAGGACCAAAATGAGTGTAGAAGATGATACAGATATGAAATGCAAGCAGGCAACTTTGCAGGGATATCGACTGCCTGTCGTAAAGACAGTGTGCGAAGGCTGGGCATTACATTGTGCTGCTAATGTTCTCTGTCCTAGATCCTTTGCGGGGCTGTGAATCAGGTTTTTCCATGCTGTTTAACCACAGTTACTGATATGCCTGTATAGCAGCATCCCAATTACAAGTCTTCTGTGTCTCTAACCCATCTGCAATGTTTCTTTTATGAGTTGGGTAGACATCAGGCACCTAGATTTCCAAGGGATGAGCCCCCTGTTCTCTCCATCTTAGTCTATGCTTACCCTCCAAGTATACCGGGAATGAGTATCCAGCATGTTAGACTGAGTTTGACTTTTTGAGTCTGCAGTGTCTCTTGATTAACATAGTGACAAGACCAAGTGTTACTTAGTTTTAGTGATAGGTGATAACAAAACAGAAGAGAAAAGGGAGTGCTTAAAAAGTTCACAAAGACATGAGCTTCCCTGGCTTTTGTTTTCAGCCAGACCTTTCAGGAGTTATGGCTTATTTGACTCTCCTGTGCTGGAGTAAACCAGCAGTGCTGTCTGCCCACAGATTGTGAGGGTGGCTCTAAGCAAGCCTGCGTAGTGCTGTCCCTAAAGCCGGGAAAAGGGGCTACTTGACATTATCGGTTTCTTCCCCGTGTAGGTGCAGACAGACACCGCTTGAACAGACTCCTTGCTTTCAGCTCGGTGAGCTGCGAGAAGGAGAGAACAGTGCAGCTGCAGATTTGCACCGTGTCTTGCTGGATCAGTTCCCTCTTGCTCTTTGATCTTTTTTCACACTGAGTAACAGGCAGCATGACTGCAATGTGATGCTCTGGCTATAGACTGCATTGTCATGTTGGAAAATGAATTGCCTCGGAGCCTTCAGTCTGTCTCCTGGGCTATTTCCTTTTAAAACCAGGAAAGCTGGGATTTCCACGTGACTTTGAAGCTGAGAGCTCTGATGTACAGAGAAATCCTATCTCTCTGTGTTCATTCATTGCTGCTTCTGATCCCTCTTTTTCTCTTCCATTATCTCCAATGCTTTTGGAAAGTTCATTTTCAAAGCACTATACCATCTCGTTGGCCACTGCTCACTGGAGTTTCCTTCTGTGGGCATCATGGTTTAGTAGGAAGTGCAACACTGGTTTGAAATGTTTGGCACACAAGAGCAGGAAAAATACATCTGTGAGTTATTAGGGGCAAGAGTAATGTTTTTTACCTTCACAGTTTACAGATATTTTTTTCCTTTCTCATCTGCCAAACGCTTACGCTTTTCAGCATTGTCTGAGTCCAGACAATGTCCAGAGGGTGTCTGTCTTGGCAGGGAATTATCTTGGACGTGCAGCCTGTGTGAAGCTGCCTTGGGCACCTCCTGAACGCTCTGACTCTGTAGCTCAGTCCTTTGGCGCACGCACTAGCTTATGTTGGCTTTAGCATTTCACCTCTGGTCACTCATGAACTGGTTCTGTAGTGGGAGATGTTGGTATTTCATTTTGCAACTGTTCATCCTCATGTGAACTGCAGGTTTCAGTAAGAACCTGGGCTGCACTCTTCCCTTGGTAACTGAAAACCTCCTTTCCCCAGAGGTGACGGCCGGCTGCCTGGGCTCGTGACACCTCTGCCTATGCAGAACAGGCACGTGATGGCAACAGTGGCATTTTTCTAGTGAGTTCCTGATCAGGCCCTTAAAACTTGCTGAAGATTAAGCAAGTTAAACCCAGCTTTTTCCCTGACCAGACCACTGCCCAGTCTTTAGACAAAAAGCTCTTTTATTGTGGAAGTGTTTTCCCAGTTGTTAGGTTTAGGTGTGGAGGTCGAATCTTTGGTTAATGTTTCATTTTCGTGGTTTGTTGTAAGTTGTTTCCCCTCCATTTTTACCATGTTCCTGGCAAAAAGGGCAAAGAGATACCATAGCACAAGTAATGCCCTCGTTTTCCCAGCTTCACTGTGACACAGAGGTATGTAATTACCAGTTGTTTTCACAGTTTTTGGCAGAAGTAGTTTTTAACTCCAGCCATTAAAAGCATATTGGACTCATGTGTTCATTATAATTGCTAAGGTGCAGGAGCTGCTTTCTGGAGGTGCCAAACACCTGGGAACTTCATGTGAAATGCCAAGTGTTTGGTGCTTCTAAAACTAGATTTACAGTGGAAGGGAGCACTGGGAAGCGCCTTTTGTGTCTTCATTTCTCTCCCTCTGCTGTTGTAGGCAGTTATACCCAGTGATGCTTTCCATGAGCGTACCAGGTGCCATATTGAAATCACTGGGTTATTTGCCCCATCGTAGGCCTGTTCCACTCTCTTCAAGGTTAGAATCTGTCTCCTAAGCTTAAAGTTTAAACTTATGGGCAGCCTATACCTGTTGCCCACATCATCAAGGAAGAAAGTGAAGATGCAAAGGCTGTATTTTAATTAGGCCACAATCTAATTAACTCACCTGTGAACACAAACAGACTGCACACTGTGATTTCTTGCTCATTCCCACTTCTTTGGGGATTTGTTACCAACCTTTCTCGCTGCGGGAGAAACCTGGAAGACAGGACTTTGAGTTCTGTTTCAGGCAGTGCTATTGATTCACTTGTGACCTTGTGCAAGTCCCTTTGGGTTTTGCTTGTAGGGCTTTACAAACGTTGGAGAGAGACAAACATACTTCCTTCGCTTCTCAGCATTTATTGTGAGCCCTAATTAACACTTAGAAAGGAAGGGGCTTTAGGCTACAGGGTGCTGCAGAACTATATTGCTATGGGAATACAATTAATAAATAATAACACATATGATACAGGAGTTCCCAAACTGCATATTGAAATAGTTTATTTTCTTTATTTGTTTACTGCATTCAATCTATATGAGTCATACTATACATCTTAATTTTCATTACTGCTGGAGAAACCCTGGGTAGGCAACATTAATATTCTACCTCCTGAAGTACTGACTTAATGGTACTGTGATCCCAGGTGATGGGAAACTATTACTGCTGTGTCCTACTGTTCTTCAGCTGCCAACTCTCATACTCCAGCTCTCCCATCATGGCCCTTTTCACAAGAGGATGGGACAGTTCTAACCAGCTAGTCTGACCTCCCATGCAAAACAGATCGCAGACTTTTATCCAAAGATTTCTACTTCAAGCTCAGTAACTTCTGCTTAATGTAGAGCATGTCATTTAGTCAGCCATCCAGTGAGGATGCAGAAACTGTAAATCAGAGAAAATCTACTACTTCACTTACTAAATTCAGTAGTGCATTGCATTCATCTAAAAATGCTCCCCTTACTTATTTCCAGCCTCCAGTCTTTGTTGTGCTTCTTATTATGCTTTTGTTTAAAATTAAAAAAGACTCAAGCACCTGCTAATCTCAGGATTTTTCATGGCACAAGTACATACAGACTGTGATTGAGATATATCTTAACCTTCTCATTCCTAAATTACAGGCACTGAGCTCATTTCAGCTCTCTCTGCAAGATGGATTATCTGAACTTTAAATTCTGGGTTTTTATCTCTTTTGCTAAATTCTGTGCCATCAGACATTGTCCTTTTTAGAATGAATACCAGAACTGACACTACAGCAACCTGGTAATGGTGGTTAATCACTTTTATCATCAGGAGTATGCATAACTCAGATACCTTCCTGACAGAGTTTGGGATCTAAGCCTCTTGCTTTGAGGTGACTCTTTGCAGGGTGAATATCTGTTTCTGG